TGTGCGCCATGGCGCCCAGCCCCCCGAGCCGGGAGCTCCAGAGCCGGTGGCTCTGCGCACATGTCGGACTGTCGGCTCCATCATGCACTTTCCACATCCGCCCCCCCCCCCGGCAGCATCATGATGCAAGGAACTGAATAGGTACCAAAAACACGGAAAGCAACCCCGGCTTACTTCTTACAGTGCATGCACTACAGTCTCAAAAGTAACTGTGCTGGGTCTGGTTACTGGAGGTGCAAAGGCAACAGCAGCAGCAGCAGCAGCAGCAGCACATTCTTGAGGCCGTTTTTGCTAAAGACACTGGGCTGCTAATGCACGCCCCTCCTGTCATTCGGCAATGTGGCCAGGTCAGTGTGTGCTGAGAGCACAGCTTTCGCTTGAAGCGAAAGCTTTGCTCACAGGACACACTGACCGCTGTGCTTCGAGAAAGGCTACAAGGCAGCCTCGGCAATTGGGAGGATATTGCTGAGATGCTGCCTCTATACTCATACCTACTTGCATCATAGTCGGTGCAATCTGGTACGTAATACTCAGATGTCGCTGGCAGTGAGTGACACCAGTCAGGGAGCATCATCTTGATCTTGAGAATTCTATGGCCACCACCACCACCACCACCACCGAGGTCTGCGCAGGCATCTGCAAGTTTTTGCGTCATAGGGGAAGCCAAACCTCGCTGGTGTATCAGACACATTCGATCCACCTAGCGGGATCTTGGCACCCGCTCACACCAGCTATCGCGCCACGGGCCCAGAACTCGGCCCAGAACTTATCCAGGACATACGAACACCAGTTGAGGACACGGCATGATTTGAGCTTGAGCTGGTCTTCAGGGCTCCGCTACGTTGAAGCTGTCAGGCTGGTCATGATACTGACGCTCCTGCAAATGCAATCCTCTGCCCAATGGCATCAGTTAGCGCAAGCTTCCGTGCTGCCCTGCAGAGTAGCATTGGGTGGTCCAATCAGCTCTCTTCCTCTTTCTGCACGGCTGGCAGCACCATGAGGCACGCAATACAAAGGTCACGCGACTAACCATCAAATCCATCAACATGCCTGCTTCTGGGCTTCGTCACTCTAAGACGCAGGCAAAGGCTGAGCCCAAAGGTCTACTGCAGAATGCAACCTAGGTCAAGTCCGTTGCGTAACTCAGCATTGGCTCAGCACCACAAACATCATCCTCGCACATCCTCATAGCCTTTGCCCCTGCAGCCCTGATCGCACAGCGCGTGTTGCCCAGATTCACTCACAAGTCGTAGGAACCTTAGCGGAAGTTACTTAACAGGCACTGGGCAAGATCTGCCACAGGTTGACACTACACTTTCTGCAGCTGGGCCGGCTTCCGCCTGCTGCCCCAGTTGTGCGCTGTCCATGTGTCAAACCATCAGGCAAGAGGCTGCCTCAGGTACAAAGCACGGCCCGGCCGGGCCACATTCAAAGCATCTGCCAGCAAGTCGCGAATCACTTCGATCGCTGGCGCATCTTT